ATGCTAAAGCGTCTACATGATAGACTCAGCATGACTGCTTGTGCTGGGGCGGAGGGTTGCCGTTCAATGCTAAAGCGTCTACATGATAGCCTCAGCATGACTGCTCGTGCTGAGGCGGAGGGTTGCCATTCAATGCTAAAGCGTCTACATGATAGCCTCGGCATGACTGCGACGGAAGACAACGTTGCACCGTAAGCGCTCACGTTTATAGTTTTCGACAGAAGAGACTAGTTCGGAATAATTCAGTTCTTGTGTGTTCCATAAATTTTGTTGTTCTTCATCTCTGAGTTGACTTGCTTCGCCATACCCTCCAGCGCCGCCCGTCAGTTCCAGCAGACTTTGATGCCCACGTTTTAAGACTCCGCCTTTTCAGATCACAAATTAGATTAAGCTAAATCAATAATAATTCAGTATTATTTCATTTATTTCCTAAAAACATTTGACTATATTCAAGATTTACATACCCTTTATTCGTTCCGATAATTCGTCTAGAGCGTAAATTGCGCCGTCATGTATAACGTACGCGAAGCGCTTGTTTGGTTCCTATATATCATGAACATGTGCTGTAATTACGATTTTATGATAGAAGGATTGAGACAAATAATTACCAACGAACGCGATTTACGCTTACCTGCTCATGTTTACTGTTGATGAAGAAAATTGGTTCATGCTCACGTAATCAAATGATTGACTTTTTTCAGATGAAGTATCATTGTTTGGATGCACCTACCATGTTAGGAAAAATTTTTCGTGTCAGAACGAAAATCGCAAATATTTTTAAATCTCTTTTTGCTAGTATTCTCAGTTTCTTGCGGTAATTCGCATGCCACACAACTTTCTATTCAAGGTGACGTTGACTCGGAAAATGTCATATGATGTGCATACATATATTTGCATAAAGACCTACTATTCTTTTTTTTTCAAATGTTAATCTAGAATGTTCCAAATAAGACCTAACGATGAAATTATTGCTTCTTCTATTATTATATTAACCTGAACGGCTAGATTGATTTTTCACCTACACAATTAAAGTGTTCTTCTTGATTTAATGAATCACCGTCCGACGTGACTTCTTGTATCGCTGCATTTGTATTAACTCATTGTTAACTTTATGAATCACCCTACTACGTGACTGCTTGTATCCCTGCATTTGCATTAACTCATTGTTAACTTTATGAATCACCGTACGACGTGACTTCTTGTATCCCTGCATTTGTATTAACTCGTTGCTAACTTTATGAATCACCCTACTACGTGACTGCTTGTATCGCTGCATTTGTATTAACTCATTGTTAACTTTATGAATCACCCTACTACGTGACTGCTTGTGTCGCTGCATTTGTATTAACTCATTGTTAACTTTATGAATCNACTTTATGAATCACCGTACGACGCAATTAGAGTGTTCTTGTTAACTTTATGAATCACCGTACGACGCAATTAGAGTGTTCTTGTTAACTTTATGAATCACCGTACGACGCAATTAGTGTTCTTGTTGACTTTATGAATCACCGTACGACGTGACTGCTTGTATCCCTGCATTTGTATTAACTCGTCAAAAAACACACACGACGCTACGCTCTTGGTGACTTCTGAAGCAGCTTAGCGATCGCATTGAAGGGGAGCGTGCGGCGCGGCTGCTAACAGAGCTTCAGGCGTGAGCTAAAAACACGGCTACGGCTTAGCGTACACAATCCTCGGAACGCCCCTCGCCTCGTCCTAAGTAATGCGCTCTGCCATGTTTTATGCTTGCTTAATGAGAGCGACTACGTGAAAAGCAGCGCTATTAAATGACTTTCGTTCAGTTGTGTGAATTGGATATCACTTTTTTTTTGTACTCGACTAGATGATTGGAATACTATGCGACATAGAAATGGATGTTGTTTGGTGGGCAAGAAGAAACGACAGTTGTCAAGTTTATTTAGAAAAGTTAGGTTAGGTTTTGGTATTGTAGTTTTTACTTGCTGTCGTTGGTGATGTAAACTGGAAATAAAGATTTAATATTAGTTAATTGGTCGAGAAAGACATACATAAAACTTACACTAGGCAAGGACTGGACTCCCATTGTTTGGTCTTAATTAATAATGTAGTTGAGCGTTGTTAATTGACAACTCGATGACAACATTAAAACTGGCATGACAGGAATGGTTTATGTCAGCACGGTCATTTACTTACACAAAGAGGTTTTGGCAGGCAATGAGAGACGCTAATTTTGATTATAGCTACGTTTACAACATCAGCTTCAGGGAGAGTTAGGCCAGATATACCTATTATTGACGTTTCCTTGCTTATGCTTGCATTTGCCAACGCTGGGTTGGGCTTTGATTACGATTATAGCGCCAACGCTGGATTGGGCTTTGATTACGATTATAGCGCCAACGCTGGATTGGGCTTTGATTACGATTATGGCGCCAACGCTGGGTTGGGCTTTGATTACGATTATGGCGCCAACGCTGGGTTGGGCTTTGATTACGATTATGGCGCCAACGCTGGGTTGGGCTTTGATTACGATTACGACACCTGGAATCGTGAGATTAGAGATTACGATATCTTGAAATTATACGATATCTTATACGTATACGAGAATGATGCGAGGGCGATATCTTACAATTATCCATATGTTTAAAATTAAAAGAGTGAAACACAAGTCGCAATGAAACACAAGTCGGTAGAAATGCCGTGTAGATTAGGCGGTAGGCGGAGAACTAAGTACCTAGTCTCCCGCAAAACTTTTCTCTTTGATTGAGTCGAAGAAAATGGGACGGCATCTTTGCTGTGTCGCTATATGGCGTTCTAATAAGGCACAACCACGAGAGTGAAGCAGATGGCCAAAGGAAGTTCAAATAAGTACACCTATTTTGTGCAAGAAATAATTTCCTCTCAAACTAAATTCTCCTAGACGAAGTCATCCCAAAAATAGCTATGAACTATGATATTGGCAGCCTACGAGAACGTGTTCTTAAGGCCCTGACTGAAAGCCGTGGGAAGTCTAAGAGCGAGGTTTTCGCGACCATCGTGTAAAATCCTTGATCTGTCCGAAGCTCAGCCTGTCGCTACCCTCGAGCTTGTACTCTTTGTAATATGATATCCTAGCCAGACCCTTTCTCGCGGTCACTGGTCGCTTTCAGGTGGCCGAGGAAGGCCAACGAGAGCAGCTAGTATGCAGGATTTTCCCTCCGCGTATCAGCCGGCTCGATCATAACTATTTTTCGGTCGAAAATATCTACAACAAAGAGGCTGATCAAGGAATGCCGAGTATACCATTCAATGGAGAATAAAAATTACAACCCTTTTATATCTCGAAAAAAGTAAAAAAGTCGCAAACTTGATGAACAATAATATTCAAAGTTGCTTAAAATTTCCTCTCATTAAAACTGTTTTAATACAAAGTTTACATATTTTTTGTTACTGATCACCGTTTATAAATAAATAGGTGGGTAAGCATGGAAAAATCCATATCGCCATCTCATTTGCGAGTGGAGTAAAGTCTATCCTAATTAGTGAAGAAACGCATAGGGAAGAGCCGAGCCTGTTAGAAGCCTTGCGACCTTCAACCAGGGCCTTAACAATGGCCGTCAACGATGTCTTGGCGCAGTGTTGCTCGCAGTTACAACTTCGATCTTCACTCAATAACATGAACTTGGTATCACAAATCCTGGAATCATACACAGTAACAGACGATAGAGGAATACACAGTTAATGGAGTCATAATATAGAAACCTTGAATTAATTATGATTAAATTAAGCAAATACTTACTCAATGGTTGAATACTTTTGAACAAAACGAATTAGAGTAATGACAAAATATGCAAAGTCAATCGATGTGAATCAAAGAATATCTTAGCAGCATGGCATATTTTCTTCAGGGACTGCGTTCCCAACGGTGTACTACGAAGTCAAGTGAGGTCTCTTTTGTGTGGACGTCGAATGATCTTGTTTAATTAAAATAATTATTTAGTATTGTAAATATTATTTAAATGTTGAGAATAAAAGTAAAACATTCCATGTATACAATAGCGAATACTATCTTGAGTGAATTTGATGCGTTTTTCTTGCTGGCGCACTGCTCGTAATTGATGTATATAACCGCCGTTGATTGTGTCCTCAATTTGTGCCATACTTATGCTTCCAGCAGATGGCGTTTTTCGGCTCTTGGCTCGTTTATTCAAATCGAAATACAAGTTACTAGTCGCAAGGCACTGAAAATCCTTACACCTCTGCATGGTGTACGCGGTTGTTCCTGCAAAGGATTCGACGAATGGAAATGAATAGGAGACGATAAACTGCCTCTGATGCATCCTTCCTTTGTTCCTATAGGCAATGATGAATTTCTGTTGCTTATTTTGCAACACCAACAACTACAACATTTCTTGGCTTTAATGAGAAATGTGATCATAGCATAGCGAACACTATAGTACGTTTTCTGTGTAGCACTTACGTGAAAATGATTGGAGAATTGCACAACGTGACTATCAAGTTCTTTTTATGTACAGTATGTTCATTCCAGTGCAAATCAACGTTCATAGAATTTTGGTCTGGTTACTTATAATTTGATGAGAAATTGCCCGCACGTTGCGAGATCGTATTTCCGACGACCGTCAAACGAATAATAATCGTTGAATACCTTCGGAATCTTAGAAGCGTCCTCTTGTGTGTATATGCAAAAAATCATTAAACAAATTTTTCTGGACTGTGTTGCATATAATTTGTTTTCAAATATCTCCCGCTCTGATTTTGGCGAATACATGTCCATATAAATTAAGCGAGTGAGTTATACACCTCTCAATATTGTGTTAATATGTCTGTAGACCAGGACACAATTTATGCACTAATTATCGAGATAGGGGACTAATAACAATAAATTGTGCTAGCTCATTGTTTGCTTGATTGTAAGTGCAAACCGTTGTAGATCGGTGTAGTGTTGTTTTGAGCTTACCGAAGCTAAATTTTTATAAATAAGTACATATTATAAATTAAAATCCATTTTTGTTTCTTCACAGATCGATGATCGCCTGGAAATCAGCGCATGAACAACTCGACACTCACGACGAAGAGGGAACTCGGCTCTGCTGAGCCCTGGATGACGTCATCACCTGCTGCCCGACGCTCCTGTCGCACCTCGCTCGACGACTCGTCACGCCCATGCGGCGGTACACGCACCCCGAGGTTGTCGTCATGGGAGGCGGTGGAGTACAGTGAAGTGACCTAATCACCCCGAGCATGGCAATACTGGTGGAAGGCTGTTGAGTACAGTGACGTGACCTAATCACCCCGAGCATGTCAATACTGGTGGAAGGCTGTTGAGTACAGTGACGTGACCTAATCACCCCGAGTATGGCAATACTGGTGGAAGGCTGTTGAGTACAGTGAAGTGACTTAATCACCCCGAGCATGTCAATACTGGTGGAAGGCTGTTGAGTACAGTGAAGTGACCACACTGTTTCTCATCATGGCTGATACGTTGGAGAGACAGTTTTCGCCGCTCCCCTCCCACAATAATGAACGAATACCTGATGTCTGTAAACTTCTATGTTCTGGACACCAAAAGTGTTTAAAATCTGGTAGCTCCTTTACAAGTATAAAATTAAAGAAGAAAAAGTGTAGAAAAAGTCACAATTTATTGCTCATGAATAGGCTATTGATACTAGAACCTATGGTAATCTGGCTTAGTGTGTTAACTCTCCTTCTAACGGCCTCACTTGCGTCTAGCGCTGAGATCAGTTTTTTAAAAGATTTTTACAATGTGAGTATAAAAGAAAATTCCCTACCGAGAACATATGTTAAGGGAAATGAACTTATGGGAGTTTCTCTTGAATCTCTGCCTGAAGCTGGCCGTGTGCAGTACTCGATTGTATCCGGGGATCCGGAAGGTTTCTTTGCTGTGGAAGAGGAACAAGTGGGTGGAATTTCAGTGCTTCATATTCGCACCAAAACTGGCTTGCGGGATGTTCTAAACAGGGAAAGACAGTCTAGTTATACAATCACGACCACAGCAGAGATCCGATCTTCCACAAACGTTGTTTATTCTGCCACCACGACTATTCATGTCGAGGTTGAGGACACCAACGACAATATCCCTCTTTTCTTCCCCGACTCTTATACCGTCGATGCTCCGGAAGACTTGCTCCTGAATACTCGCTTGGTTCAAGTCAAAGCTCACGATGCTGACTCGGGCAGAAATGGTGAGGTGTATTATTATCTCAGCGATGCAATGACCAACTTATTTGCTGTGCATCCCATAACTGGCGTCGTGTCTTTGACAAGATCCCTGCAAGGGCATATAACTAAAGAGTTCCACATAAAGGTGTTAGCAAGAGACAGAGGGTCGGATGTTGAGTTCCTCAGAGAATCAGCAATTGGACAGGCCGACGTAACCGTCTCGGTTGTGGCGATGAACAACTCCCCTCCCAAGATCGCGGTACGTCACTTGCCCAGCGTGGTCGAGCACGCACACGCGCACATATACGGCATCATCACCGTCACCGACCCTGATGACGGACCGAGTGGAGAAATCGAACTTGTTGAGATTGTTGATGGGGATCACGACAGAGTATTCAGCATTGGTAGAGGAGAAAAACCTAATGAGTATAATTTGATGGTTTTACGATTGCTCGACCGAGAATTAGCGCCTGCAGGTTTCAATTTAACCATTCGGGCTACTGACAGAGGTAGACCACGCGCAAGTGCTGACAAGAGCGTTTCTGTCGTTATAGCAGATGTGAACGACCACGCGCCAGTATTTATCCCAAAAGAATATGACGTTTCTATCAGCGAAGAGGCTCCTCCCAACACTCCTGTTGTTCGGCTATTTGCCATTGATTCCGATCTTGGCAAGAATGGTGAAGTAACTTTTGAGATCGTTTCCGGGAACCCTGACAGGAAGTTTGAGATCAATTCAGCCACAGGGGTGATTTCTACGGCAGACTGGCTTGATGCTGAATCTAAGTCTTACTTTAGTTTAACTGTAGCCGCTATGGACAGTGCCAGTCCCGCAGTTCGGAGACAGTCGACCACTGGGGTCATCATCCGAGTCTTAGATTCAAATGACAACGCGCCAACTTTCTTAAATATCGACGATGTTGTTGAAGTGAACGAGAACGAACCTGCCGGGTCGTTCGTTATTAGAGTTGCTGCATCAGATTCAGACTCGAGTGAAAACGGCTTTTTGTCTTATTCTCTCGTCAATGGTAACCAAGTCCCTTTTACGATCGACCCATTTGATGGAATTATTCGGACAGCTAAAGTTCTGGATTTTGAGACTGGGAAGAAATCATACACATTGCGAGTTAAGGTATCCGATTGGGGTCAACCGTATAAGCACGAGACGCAAACCATAATTCAAGTAACCGTCAAAGACATTAACGACAATCGACCTCAGTTCCTGACATCAGATTGCTCCGGCTGGATATCAGTGAACACTCACAAAGATAGACCAATTGTCACTCTTAAAGCAGTCGATCTAGACGCAGATACTAGAGTTCGGTATCAGCTAATAGGAAACACGAATAGAGATTGCTGGTTCATTGACCCCGATTTGGGTACCATCACAGCCAACTGTAATTTGAGAGCGGCAGTCCTGCTGAGAGCTCGAACAAAGACAGTCATGTTGAATGTCACAGCCTCGGACGGTCGTTACATGTCAGATCCTGTCATGGTCACCCTAAATGTGTATGATCCTCAATACAATGACCCAGAAAATATGTATTACGCAAGAGATGTGACTTGTAGGCCAAACGAGATCGCGCGCGAGTACATTGATGTCGAATTGTCAGCCCATGTAACTGAAATGTCAGGAAACGAAGAATATCAAGCTATTCAGCCATACGTGAGTGAAAATTTTCACGCTCCTATAATTTCCAGCAAAACGCCCATTTCAGTAGAAGTGCCTGAAAATGCGCTGGTCGGATCGGAAGTTCTCGTGATAGCAGCCACGGACAAGGATCGTAGTTTCGACGGCCGTCTTGTCTATGCTATTGCATCAGGAAATATCGATTCAGTTTTTGAGATCAACATGATCACTGGAGTAGTGCGGTTATCGGCCGCGCTAGACCGAGAGAAGCGTGCACTTTATGTCTTGAATATCACAGTTTATGATTCAGGCCAGCCCCGACTGAGTTCCAGTATAAACGTAACCGTCCAAATTATGGACATCAACGATAACGCTCCACAATTTCTTAGATTCAGTTATCATCTCCACCTTCCAGAAAATATGAAGATAGGAACTAGTGTTGCTCAACTGCAAGCAGTTGATGCAGATGAAGGAAATAACGCCCTAGTTACGTACAAACTAATTTCCAATACTCGGCAATTTCGTTTGAATTCGAATTCTGGGATTCTTGAACTCGTGGCGCCTTTGGACCGTGAAAAAATTGACCAGTACGAGCTTAAGGTCCGAGCGTGGGATGGCGGGGAAGACGAACGTCGGTATTCTGACGTGGTCGTGCACATAACAGTTCTGGATATCAACGACTGCGCTCCGGACTTTGGTGCAGCCAAGTTCATCAGCATCAGCGTGCCAGAAGATTATCCAGTTGGTGCCGTAGTTGCTATAATGCAAGCTACAGACTTAGATGTCGGGCAAAGCGCTGTCGTTTCGTATTCTTTCGTGGAAGACGATAACGCAAACTTTCGCATCGATAAAGAGACTGGCGTCGTTCGTATCACTTCGCCTTTGGACTTTGAAAAAACTAGATTGCATAACCTCACAATTAAGGCCTCTGACAAAGGATTCCCTCCACTGCACAGCTTTGCGCAGCTTATAATTCACGTAGAAGACGTCGAAGAGACCATTGTCACCCACGAATTCAAGCAGAGAATAGCGCGAGGATGGATCCGAGAAAACGAGCCTCCGGGCACGCTGGCCACCACACTCGCGGTCAGCGGGGAGCGCCATCCCAGGCTGCAGTTCGCCATCACCGACGGCGACGGTCACGGATACTTCGCTGTCAACAGTCGCGGTAAGGCTTGAATATCTCTATACTGGTTATAATGTAGGTAATCGTATTTAATTGGGAACGTTTTCATAATTTCTCCTCTTTCCTTCGATTTGAATGCTACTTTGTAGTCGAGTTGTTTGTGCTGCGCTCAAAATAAGATATTATTTTATGGTTTTTATGCTCTGAATTTGTGTAGGAGCGGAATCAGTTACGTATTTTGAATAACCGATATACACTAATTAGTGATTTCAAGAAAAAATGAAAAAAGTTTCTACCTAATATTTGTTAACTGATTAAAAATGGTTATCAGCTAGTGTATTCAGAATCCACTGACTGTTTTCATTACATTCATTACTTCGTACAAATTAAAATTTCTATGTGAGTTAATCAATTATTTTACGAAGCAGCGCTGCAATCTTGTAGGATAGTACTGCATCCAAGATTAAAATGGGCCGAGGATTTAGTTGGAAAGAGCCTTTATCCCCAGAGTTATTAGTGTCGCAATGCCCCTGCAACCTGCCGACGCTAGGGTATATTTAGTGGTCTTCCTGGAGAAAGTCCCTCATCAATATTGTGATACTTTTGAAGTTTTTTCCATTACTTGTGGAAAAACAAATAGTATTGCTACAAGCGCTGTTGAACATTTTTAAGCGGCATAAATTTGTTGCTTGCACGAAGCATATAAACTTATCAGACACCGTAATACAAATTCCCAAATTCGAGAAATTCGACCGTTGATCTTATTTCTATTGTAATGGAAACATGAAGGTTGCCAGTTTTTGAGCCGAAAAAGTTTATTTAATTTCAATGATCGCTGCTCTCAGAAATCTCTTAGTTCATTTGTGTTTACACTTGTATTCGGGCTTAAGAAAAGTTATCAGCGAGACCTCCAATATTATAGAAAATTAACGTCGGATAAATATCCACATTTATTCTTCATTTGTCGAGAAATGACGTATTGAAGGATAAATATATTGTTTTGAGCCCATATGATGGTTGACTGCTGATTGGTCAACTCCTCTCTCTCTCTGAAAATTGATGTTATATCAGTCGTTTGTTGAGGTAAATCATAAAGTCTTCTATGTTCTTAACAACCACATCGATGAATTTATGTCAATTCTCGGACAAAAAATCAATTGAATATTTTTCATTCATTTATTTTTATCTATCTTCCAATATGTTCATATTCCAATGATAAATATATATCAGACCTTATTTTCACCCATAATGTCTGTAGCATTCTGATTTCCAGTCCAGTTTTCGTTCTACTATTCCAATTTTCGAGATGACTAATATTCAGTATTATCCGCTCACTAACTTGGACCTTAAGTCCAGCGTAATGAATTCATTAGTCGTTCTTTTAAAACTAAACACTATAGTTACGAAGTCGCTTTTATTTATGTTCGCTCAGCTATAGTTGCTTTATAAAAATTTGACTCGAGAAATGCTCCAAACTCGTATATTAATGTTGAATCAAAATATTATTTTTTGTCCCCTGACTGAAAAGAACAATAATATGGCTGAACAACTTCTTATCAGAGTCAAAAACTCGCACATAATTTTTATTTAACAGTAATAGTAAGGAAGATGAAATCCGCATTACTTCAAAAAGAATATAGGTAAACCTTCTTCCTATATTCTATTTTCATCAAGGATGAACAGGAAGGAAATGGTAGAAAGAAGGATGAACTGGAAAGGAATGCAGTGACCACGCTAGATCGTCGTAACCAGATCAAGCATTCTTTGAAACACCCAAGTGTTTCAAAACAAAGGGCCTTTTTCTCTCAGCATGAGCCGCTGATATTTTATGGCCGAGGTGCACCCAGCGGCAGGCGTATGCACTCTCCGGCTAATGCCCTCAGATTGGATGGAGGTTGTGTGAGGCTCTCACGGGACCGCCGCCCCCCAACTCCATACTTAGGAGTTGGGGGGCACTTGGAGTTGGCTGGGGGCACACCAGCCATACTTTGTCTGGTGTGCGTTTCTGTTTCAGCAGTTGTGTAGGGTGATGTTTTTACTGCATACGTGCCTCGTTTTCCCCGTATTATCGTTTTTACGAATTAAAAAATTTTTTGACCTTTTTCACAAACGAGCTCCTGCTGCTTAATTGAACTAAGTTGTGTAGTTTCTTTATCGACGTAATTCCACAAAATTGCATTGCAATATATCAAAATGATTACTTTATCTTATAAACTCGCTAAAATAACATGGAAATTGCATTTTCTCTCACACTCACAATGTGATTCCTTGAATGCGCCAGTTTGAACGAGGCTATTATGCCATCATGCTACGTCGCACGAGATACACCGCCCTCCAGACTTGTCAGCTTTGTCACGACGCGATAACGTCAATGTTGGTCACGACGCGGTGACGTCAATGTCGGTCACGACGCGGTGACGTCAATGTCGGTCACGACGCGGTGACGTCAATGTTGGTCACGACGCTATGACGTCACATGTAGGCACCATCACCATATCAAGGCTCTAAGTCTCCGTTCTTCTACACCATCAGCGACTGGCTTGGGGCTGAAATTATGCGCCTGCCCGCAGTCTTACTAGATTTTTGTTTGGTCGCTCCCTCCGTGCGTGTGACGATGTGTGTTTATTATTGATGTTCCTGATGAAATTAATTAATCGTCATAAACTGGGGACCTCCCTTTCTAAATATTTATCTACAGCTGAGACCGAGGGCAAAAAAAATCTGCTGTCGTTCTAGTGGCTCCCAATTCACCGGTATATATTCTTCGTATCGTGTCTCTGGCTTGATTCCATTAAACATGAGATACACTCAAAGCCTCTGAGTTTCGTACTTACTATGCAGTAATTCGACTGTGCAAATGTCCTAATTTTATTTTTCCAACGACTAGTTGGCCAATTTTTTATGAAGCTATTAAATACCATTTAACTTATTCAACCAAAAAGAGAGCATTTTGAATTTCTCAGTAAGGTGGTTATGAAAGTGATATATTTTGTGCGCGTTTGAAGAAGTGATACCTTGCATTGTTCTCTGCTTTTCATACTATCACGAATTGCCGAGCACTCCAGTGTTGGGAAGCTTTCAGTCTATTAACGAACAAGCGTTTCCCCGACACAAAGCACGTGAACGTTCTTCAATCAAACACTTTTCTAAACCAAGGGTTTTTCAATGAATAGTTTAATGTAAATATAATTAACGAAGAATAAATAGAAACACAAACAACAAACCTAAACGCCCGATGCGCGGCGTCGAGCTTTTTAGCGCATTTTCTCATTTATGGAAAAAAGGCGCTATTGTGCTCGTCATGTCCTTCTGTCTGTCCGTCCGTCCGTCCGTGACTTCACGTTTTCGTCGACGAGAAAATGCGCTCTGTGTCACTCACTGCAGTGAGTACTGAGTTATATTTTTTATGGCTTCATTTCTCCGCTATTGAGTCTGGAGAACGGCGTCGCTCCATTGCGCTCTCTCTGCTGCCCGCCACTTCTCATTCAATTTCCTTCTCGGGCGATCAAACGATAGATTTCGTCTTGGCAAAAGTTTTACGTAGGACATTATTTCTGTTTCACGTCGTTGTTATATTACTGATTCTTAATTCAACATTAGTTTTTTACCAAAATATTGTGTTTAATTTTTCCGTTTAGGTTAAAATATGTGAAATCGTAATTTCTTAATGACGGGCTTGTAACATTATCTGAATCTCTTCGCTGCAATAACATAATCCTAATTTCCTCATTGCAGTACCATTATCTGAATCTATTCATTGCAGTAAAATTATCTTTATCTCATCATTGCAAAAACATTATATGGATCTATTCACTGTGGTCTTAATCTTTTCATTTTGATTCTCATATCTGGTCCCTTTCATTGCAATAATTCTTCGTTGTTAATATTTCTAATGGTATTCTGTAACCAGACATTCATTTCCTTATGCATTATTGAATGAATCCCTTATTTGCTGTCTATCTAAAAAAGTTTGAACAGGTGTTGCTGCATACCTCGGCTACAGTGATTAATTTATTCATTTCCTATGATTTTAGTTTATAATGATAATCAAATCATTTTCTGCATAAATTATTGTTTTTAAACCGTGTTAGCATTCAATGCAGTGAGTGAAGTTTAATTGGCGGAAGTAAATGAAATATGGGTTGTATTTAACGTAGAGTTTGTCTCGTTCCGACCGTGTGTAAAAAATTAAGTCACTTAGGCTCTCAGTGCACTCTCTCGCTACGAGTGATAGGCTTATTTATTTAATAGCAGATATTGTTAATATGTTATTCATTAGCATCGCTGGATGTCAACCTTAATTCTATTTCTTTTATTATTTACATGCATTTTCACAAACATTCATTATGTATTCCTACGCGTATGGATCACTATCATTAATGAAAATTACCAAATTCTGTAATTACTTTTGATCTTCGTATTTTATCTACTAGGTTTATGAGCAGTATATTACGTTTATACAAACGTTTATTTATATTACGTTTATATAAACGTAAATTACTTCATGATGAAATTACTTCATGATTTACTTCGTAAATTACTTCATGTTTATATAATTATTCATGATGAAGCATTGGTTACTGACCAGCGATGTCTGGGCAGGGGAGCTACGCAGCACGCGTTCTCTGGACCGCGAGACGCGACGTGGCTACTGGACAGCTGTCGTCGCCTGGACCACCAGCGCTGCTGACACCTGCTGGGTCAGTGAACTAAATAAATAAATAAATGAATAATAAAAATTAATAACGGTGAGTGAATAAGATCGCCGGTCGGGCTTAGCATTGAATTGTGCACGCCTCCTCTGCCGTGGACGAGGAGGCGTGTGTTTCGATCGATTACCGTTTTTTTCTTTGGATTATCTTTTTTTTTAATTTTTTTTTATGACCGTTTCTTCCTCTCACATTGTTTTAGATTTTTTTATCTCAAATTATGCTCAGATTTAGTCATAGTTCAGTTTACGAATAATTTTATTTAGTTTGATGTCTCTATAATTTCTTGTTCCGTCGACATGTATTTCGTACATGCAAACTAGGTATTTAATGAGAGAAGGTTGAGATAAGAAGGATATTACTGTCTCTATTATCGGTAAATTATATATCATCATTGCGTTTAATTTGGTTCATATCCTGATAGTAAGGTAGGCTTCAAATTGAATTATAATCTAAATTATTCAAACTTATCAGCTTGAATGTATTTTGAAAATTGGAAACTTTCTTTAGCCATATTAATGCTAAAACTCGTCGCGTTGCTATGTATTCACTACTCATACTAATAATCATTTAAAATTCAGCTTACTAATAAAGGAAGCTTGCACACCACTCCATCGTAAAAAGTAAATCCAAGTAACGGATATCTTTCCTTGCACACCAAAAAGTAAAGATATCCGTGGAAAGAAACTCTGCTTCTTGCCTTCACATTGCAGCCGCAGGCGCCAGTGCGTGGCTCGTAGTCCCGACGCGCGGAAATAAGGCAGCGCGCTGAAATTTCCTTCGATTTCGTCGTTTCCAAGCGGGAAATTATCTCTCGGCCGCGCGCCCCTGCCGGAGATGACAGCTTGCTTATTGAAGACGCATTCAAATTTTACTCCAAAAAACCGATGCCTCCACCTGTTGCTCTTTTCCAGTACCTCCACTGATTGATCATAGCGCAGCAAGACCAAACGGTGCATCCGTAATGCTTCCCAATTGCAAGCCAAGCGAAGTTATGGGATTTGTGATGCCTTTTGCATTTTGGAAGCCATGGTGTGCTTTAAGAATTTTATTTATAGTGTGCCAGTCTATAATTCTTTCTTCATGTCGTTTTGAACTTGTTCATCTGCGTTATAATTCTTTTTCTCCATTTTTTTATTTTATTTCTTGTAAGGTTATTCAAAATCTAAACACTTTTGTGGATGAATTTATTTAACATAATAAAATATTAGCGAAGGCTGGAAAAATAATTTTACGGTCAAAATTATTAACTTCGCTCAATCCTTTTATATTCTATTTGGGTTGCAATGTTGCATTTATTTTAGATTTACTTGTTTGCGCTGAGATACATTGCGTAACTACCCGTCTGTTATTTCCTAAATACGTGCGATGTGAACTAGCATTGAATAATTTTATCCGTTTCGGAACCATACCGTACAAACGAGACCAACAGCGGCAACGATAAGGAGTTCTCTAGTACTGCGAGTTTGGTAGAAGAAGTGTAGCGCTAGGCACACCGAGACTTGCAGCGGCAGCAATAAATGAACTCAGCCAGCTGTTGTAATAACCGAGGCATCGTAACTTGATCGAACCTTGTTGAGACAATGGCCTTCCTGGTCTTTAGTGCCCATGATACGGATAACGCAAATGATACGTGCACGGTAATACAATAAATAGCTAATTGGTTAAAGTTGGTGAGAGAATAGACGTTCGTGCATGGGTGTCGTCAGTTGGCTTCATAATCGTCTTCTCAGTTGCACATCAGCTAGCTTCATAATCGTCTTCTCAGTTGCACATCAGCTAGCTTCATAATCCTCTTCTCAGTTGCACATCAGCTAGCTTCATAATCCTCTTGTCAGTTGCACTCAAAGACTTCCTTCATCCTCTGACAGTTACATGGACCGGAGTTCGTGTCTATAGAAAAAGTTTCGTGCAGTGATCCGCCTCGTGGTGATCATGAGCCGGGAACTTGTCAAAGGCAAAGTTTATTCGAACTTTCCCGTCTTTTGGAAGTATCTGCATGGCAGGGGCTGGTGATGAAAGGCAACTTGTGATCTGCGACGACGTGGCTTCTTTCTCTGCTGGTCCGATTGATCTCCTGAGTTCTCAATGGGGGATGTAATCCCTCGGCCGGCGTGCCTTCTTAGTGCACGCGTCTTCTTATTAAGAGATGGAACAATTAGTTGATTGCAGAAATGCATTCAACTTGATCGCGCGTTGGTGAATTATACTCGAGATTATGTAAATTATTCACCGTGAACAACTGGACATGTTTTATACTATTGTTTTTGTTCAATTTATTTCATTTGAAGACAGGATATCGCATCACATTCGAGGAACTGCTAGAAAAAGGCTTATGAAATTCCCAATTATATCGGTGCGAATTTAATTTCCGTTTATATATTGATATATGCCTTCGTTGAACCTGCGGTGAAGCTCCTGCGCACGCAAACACAACCGACCAAAAAGTTTGTACACTTAGCAGCCACTACGAGGACTGCATTACGGCGAGCCATAGGCTATAATTGCGGTAAGCCATGGGCTATAATTGTAATTACAATTATAGCCAGCCACAATTATTGAACATTTGTTAAAGGCCGACACTCGATGAATCATTATTAAATCAATAATTTTAATGGTGAGCTCTGCTCATCCTCGGGATACAGTATATGACGCCTTAATCGCGTTCCTGGCATCCCGATACACCTCCTGTATATATTAGTCGACGAATCTGGGTTGACTCCGACAAGATAGTATGTTGTCCTTAGTTCCAAACCGACCGTCCTAATGTTCTTCTATTGTTCTCTAGATGACCGGATTTATTTCCAAATAAACCTAATTTATATTGAAAGAAACTTGTGTCTATGGACTGAGTGTGTTGCTAGAGTTGGAGAGAAATTATTCACCTCTTTAATTGTTCATGGCGCTCTATCCGAATTTCTATCCGTTTATTATAGTTCAGTTGATTTGTGTTTCCATCTGTGCTAATGTACTTACGCTCAGCTGTGAGAGATCTTGTCCATAGGCCCTCGTCATCACCGAATTACAGAGAGTTAACATTTTTCGTGACCTATTGCTCGATTTTGGGCGCGCGTCTCGTAGATTTAAACTTATTCCTTTTCTTCATTTTACCCTATCCCTGATTGACCTCGTCTATCCGTGCCATCCTGAGCTTCGTGTCTGATATGAGCAGCGAAGCCAATTATTATCCTCTATTTTCCCTCTTGAATGTCTTTTCCAATAGACATTGACCTGCTCTCTCGCTCCTCCACCATCCGTCTTCTTAATATGTTTGGCCATGTACTATGATTTGCCCTGACTTTTTAGAAGTTAGCTTCACTGTTATCCGATGGCAGTAAATATCTGATAATAATTTGAAAACAACACCAATAGGTATTATATCTTTCTCTCAGCTTTATTGGAGTAGCGCTATCACTGAAATCTAATTACGGCCGCTGCTCTAGCGCGCTGTTTCGCTGGCTCCCAGAGCGCTTTTTCATAAACAAAAGCCAATCTAATCCTCTTTAGTGTCAGTTTTTCTCACGGCTTCCTGCGGGTCCTGGGCCTATACTTTCAAAAAAAAGTTAAGAGATCGTAAGTTCATCAGCCAATCATTGACGGCCTTTCAAGCAAAATCCGCCAATCACAGACAAGAAAATAGAGCGTAATTACTTAAGTTCACATAGCGAGTTTTGAAAGTATGGCCCCCGATCAAAACTGTGCCTTTACTGGCGAAGTGCTTGGTAAGCTTCGTTCTGAATATCCCTATTCTGTAGTAATGATAATAAAAATGTTGACAGTTATACCCCTATATACATTATACATGTCCTGCTGTTCAAATTCGAGCACAGTTCTTTGACTTTTACTTCGATTTTTATTTATTAATTTTCAGCCAGATTGCGAGTGAGCTAAAAAAATTGTGCCTTCGCCCTGATCGTTCGCCCTGATCGTTCGCCCTGATCGTTTGCCCTGATCGTGTTTTTACATTGCTTCCGTTTCAAACACGGCAGAATTTCTTCTGGGTTCGGTTTTTCTAGACTCAATCTAAAGGAAGGTGGCTTGTACTGACTCAATACCTGAGTAAATCTTCTCTGCATCATTATTGCCTTAGAAGTACAACATTGCCTTACATTATTGTCATACAAGTACAACATTACCTTACATTATTGTCATACAAGTACAACATTACCTTACATTATTGTCATACAAGTACAACATTACCTTACATTATTGTCATACAAGTACAACATTACCTTACATTATTGTCATACAAGTACAACATTACCTTACATTATTGTCATACAAGTACAACATTACCTTACATTATTGTCATACAAGTACAACATTACCTTACATTATTGTCATACAAGTACAACATTACCTTACATTATTGTCATACAAGTACAACATTACCTTACATTATTGTCATACAAGTACAACATTACCTTACATTATTGTCATACAAGTACAACATTACCTTACATTATTGTCATACAAGTACAACATTACCTTACATTATTGTCATACAAGTACAACATTACCTTA